GGGGTAATTATCTTTGCGAAGGGATGAAGGAATATTTTATAGCTAAGTGCTCGTGTAAACTGCGATTCTCTCACTGACATATACAAAAAAAGTATAAAGTTTATTGCCAGGTTCATTGAGGAGCAATGCTTCCAAGATCTTAGAAATGCCTTCGCATTTGCCACGGCCTCCCATTTGATAAGCACTGACCTAAACCGTTGGCATTGTTTAGCGGGCTTTGTATACAACTTAATGACCCGCAGCACAATATTCAGATTGACACTTTTTATGTTAAAACAAACTTTCCACACTTTGCTTGGTTTTGGAAAAAAAAAGAAATCAAAGACGTTTACAATTTTGTGTAATGCGAAATTAGGCAACACCACCTAGATGGAAAGCCGCAGCGCTTCCCTCTCTCCCTTCAAGGAGCGTCGTCATGAGTAGGCTGAACTGGTAGTGCGCTTCTCCGCAAGGCTCCCCTTGACAGTTGGCTTCTTTGCAGTGCACGTTCTCTTTTTTTTTTCCTTTCCCTCTGCGCTCAACAAGGCGTAAAAAAAAAAAAAAAAAAAAAAAAACGTTACGGCGTTGCGTTTTTTTTTTTTTTTTTTTTTTTCTTCCTAACGGTTGTAACTTGTTTGTCGCGTTCCTTTCTTCGACGGCTTTTTTTACTTACTCTTGCGGGTTGAGTCACGTGACAATAAGGCTGGAGGAATCAACTAGAACAACTCTGGACGCGAGTAGGTTTTTGGACACCGAGGGTCAGAAGTCCAACTCTCGAGTGAGATCGAGCACATTTTGGAATGTCCTCTCGCGGCCTCGTGTGTGGACGTGAAAGCAGTGAAAGCTGCTTTTCGGTTGTCGGTTCGTGGTCGGTGCTGTCATTCGGTACAGATGTTGTTTATCCGTGCATTGACGGAAAACTGGATGTGAAAGTGTCCATATTTGAATTTCTGCAAGGATGACTACGAAAACGTGGACTATACAGCGAATCGATGGGAAGATCTCGCTCCTTGACGGCATGGCAGGGTAAGAACTTATTAATTTTTATGATCGTGGTTTCGTTTTTTGTTTTTACTTTTCGCTGAATGCATGCTTGGGAGTGATTTGGTTGTGGCCTGGAAGCAACACATTCAAATGCTGGCGCTACTTGCAGGTGCAGAACTAAATAAAAATGACCCGATTTATGAGTTCATGTTGGAATGTTTTCGCAAGGTACGCAAGTGATAGGTTACCGCGGTTGCAACCAGCACATCAATTAAAAAGCAACAAAACAGAAGTAGATTGTCTTTTCTGCGTATCCTCATCGGAGCGCAAAAATGATCCGCTGCAACTAACAAGTAAGACCTATATTTTAGCGGGTCTCTCAGCAGTAGTTTGGAGTGCACGCAAGCCGGAATATGGTTCATTGATCAGTTATTTATCCATACACCAGAGCCATATACTAAAAATTTAGCTGGAGTTGCTTCAGGCTCCCCAAGGAATCCCACCACGCATCAGGAAACTCTATTAATTATTATTATTTTCTGTACCTGGTTCTATGTGCTCGTGCAATAAGCATTATTATTATTATCATTATTATTATTATTATTATTGCGCATTCGGCACATCAAATTCAAGAATAATTTTGATGTTTGTGATCCAAAATACCAGATCAAAACACTGCCAGTGTTTTCTCTCAAATACGGGACCACTTCAGCTTAAGAGCATTCTCCTCTTTTTTTTTTTTTATAACCATTTTTGATTACATTATCTTTCTCTAGGTTAATATGATTTCCTCCTTTTTCGTTCTATTTCCTCCAGAAGCGGTCACACATCCCGGATACTGCTTTGATGAACTCTGGCTGCTGTACGGCCTCCATGGGACAAGCTGAAAACTGACACCTTAGAAGAGTACTTCGGAATGTATAGGCAACTGGCTTGCTTCTAATATCACGTGTCTACAAGGCACATTTGCGAAGATGAAAACAGAATACTGCTGTGGAGCACAATGTCAACGGTCACTACAGCTAGCAATGGAAACTAGAAAGATCTTCCCAAGCGAGCGGATACTTGACGCCCTACCTGCAACGTGGTATACCTGCAATGTGGCCCTGGGCTGTAAAAAAATAAGGCACAGCCTCCCGGCCTTGGGCTATGTGGCCAGCTGTGCAGTCTACACCACCTTAAAAAAACCTAAGGGGCGAAAAATGCAAGGTCGCGTCGACAGCACGAAACAAGTTGGCTACAGTTCGCTCGCACAGGAAGACAAAGCTGGTGTAAATGCTGTAGCGAAATGAATGTTTGCATTAATGCCAAGAATGCCAAACAGAAGAAATGAAAAGCTGAAACTCGATCAAAGACACTCGCTGCCAACCGTCATGAATGTCAAGAAGCGAACTCGGACCAAGGAACAGTATGTCTGACGCCTGTGATGATGAACCCATCGTGAGTTCGAGCTGAAGCATGTGTTGGACTGCAGTGAAAACTTTCAACTGAGGAACCTTTGTTGCAAGATAAGCTAAGAGGTCAAGGCTAAACAAATTAGTTCGTGTCCGGCCAGCAACATGCCTGCGCTTCATCATCATGCAAAGGCAACTGCTCTCTGAAGTCGGTGGATCTCTGTGTGTGTGTGCAGATAATCGGTGTCCTTGTAGCAGTCTGTTGGGTATCTTGTGGTGCTACAACGGAAATGCCAACATGCTGCACAGATATTGTGTGTCTCGGTGTCACATAATCTACAGCATCTAAGATGCATGTGTGTAAATGTTTTTGAAGACGGATATTTTCAGAACTTATGGATACCAGGACGCTCGTTTCGCAGTGTTCAAAGGTGACCAATTTCTTCTTTATGACTCTTCTGCATTGTAAATGCAAGCAACTTTGAATATCAAGCTCCCATGCCCACTTCTGTTTGTGTGCAAAACTTGTTTTTAGCCGCCCTAACTGTGTCGTTTCACAGACTCGATACTGTCGAAGTACATCTGCATATGGGGCAACGCTCGGGTATTACGGTACTTTTTTTGCAAATATAAAGTTTTCACATTATGACATTGCCAAGAAATAGGTCACAGGTGTTTTTCAATGTAGTAACCAGATAGGTTGCTTGCTGCAAAACAAGTACTATATTTGAACAGGCAGAGTGCTTTGAATTGCTAAACCTATGCAGGTTGATCACAGGTCTAAGAAAAGTTTGCCAAAATATGTGCAATACATTTTTCAAACTATGTGCAATACATTTTTGAAACTATGCGCAATACATTTTTCAAACTATGTACAATACATTTTTCAAACCAGCACATCACAATTTTAGAATGTTATTACTTTTATACTTGTCTGGCAATTTGGGTCCCGTTGCTGTTGCATCAGATGTCCCTAAGGGTAGTGCAGTGGCGTCGGAAGTATTTCTGAGGTGGGGGGGCAACGGAATTGGGGTGGGGTGGGGTGGGGGGGGGGGGGGGGGGGGAGGGATGAAGCATCTAGAACAGTATGGATATATAAAATCGAAACGCTCAAAAAACGTTTATTTAGAACGAATATATG